TCCCTGTGCTGCTCCTGATCTTCATCAATGATCTTCCCAAGTAGGCATTTATGCTGATGACACTAACATTTACTCCTGTCTCTATAGCAAATCCATCAGAGCTGGCAAAATTAACTTAACTGCTAATCTTGAAGACCTTCAATTAGTGGTTAATTGGGGCAGGAAATGGCTTGTAAATTTGAATGCCCCCAAAACTAATCTGCTCTCATTGAACCACTCTCAAGAATCTTTCTTGCCTACCATAAGCATGGCTGATGTTAGACTCATGGAGAGCAACACACTGTGCTTTCTTGGCCACACGTTTTCAACTAACTTGAAGTGGAATGCCTACATTGAATCAGTTGCTGCATCTACTGCAAGGAAAGTTGGGTTACTGTGTTGTGCCAGAAAGTTTTTTTTTTGTCAGAGTCCATCTTGCACATTTACAATATCATTTGTTTGTGCATTGAATACTGTTGCCATATTTGTTCAGGTACTCCTACTATTCATCTCAAGGTTCTTGACAAAATCCGAAGAAGGATCTGCACTGTAATCGATCCTGACTTGGCATCTCGACTTCAATCACTTTCTCACTGATGTGATGTGGCTTCCCTCTGTCTTTTCTAAAAAATATTTTCATGGCAACTGCTCTTATGAGCTTTTTTCCTGGACCCCAAACTATGTGAGTTTAAGCATTCTATTTGATTGGTATCTAGGTCCAACCCTTTTACTATTGAATTAGTTAAATACAACTACAATCTTCAAAAATTAAAAATACAGTGTCAATTGCCATCTTCTTGAATTCTGTTCAGCTTGTATCCTTTCCTTAGTCCCTCTCTATACCCAGTCTTTTCTCTCACCCTCACTCTCTGTAACCCCCTGCATACTAGTGTGATTCCTGCCTTGCTTGAGGTGAATTTTAAAAATAATTGTTGCTTTTGTATATAGATACATGTCACAAAATAAAATCCTTAAATTTGCCTTGATAAAGTCCCTCAGAGAACAAAATTTGTCAGCTAAGATAAGTATATATATATATATATATATATATATATATAATAAAAAGGCTTAAACACTAATATTCCATGGTCATAATTTATTCCATTGGAATCGTAAATACGATCCAAATCATCAGACCTACAAATTCAAAATGAAAACAGAAAAAAACAACTCCGGAAATCAAAACAGAATTAGAGAAAGTGTAAGTATGAGGATGAGTGACAGAGAGAATTTTTGGAGATGTGGGTGGGGTGGATTTAAAAAGAGGAGAGAAAGAAAGTCGACGGATGTCTAATACATAAAGATACATTTCGTGGTGACATATACACACCACAGACAATTCGGATAGGAAGGGAAAAAAAAAAAAAAAAAAAAAAAAGGAAAGGGTGGGGAGAGGGATGGGACGAAGGAAAAAATAAAATGTGTTTACATAAAGGGCCGCTTCGAATTGGGAAAATTAAATCAAATATAAATATATGAAGATGAATATAACGATTGTCTCATTTCAAGGACCAAATATTTCTATGTTCAAAAACACATACTAATGCACACAAAAAACATATACAAGTAGGTACATACACTTAGGCATGTACACACACACACACCCAGACATACGTGTACATGCACATACATACACACATACACACATATATATATATACATACATATATATATATATATATATATATATATATATACACACACAAACACACACACATATATATATATATATATATACAAAAACCTAAAAATATATTCACATATCCACACATACACATATTCATCTATATTCATATACACACACTTTTCACATACATATACACGCATACATATGCCCCATGTATACATTCATACATACATACATACTTATACATACATACACACATACATATATATATATATATATATATATATATATATATACATACATATATACATATACATACACATATATATATATATACACATATACCCATACATCCACGCACATATACATACATACATATACACACACATATACACATACATATACATACACACCCTTACATATGTATATATATACACATGCAAATACATACACACCCTTATATATGTATATATATACACATGCAAATACATACACACCCTTACACATGTATATATACACATACACACACACATAAACATGTATACACATAAGTACACATACACACCTATACATATACATACATAACATAAACATCTCCATACGTACATATATACACTTACATACATACACACATATATACACATACATACATATACATACAAATATACACACATATACACACACATACACATAAATACACACAGAGATATACACACATGTACATATATATAAAAAAGTTAAAATCTAAATAAGTGATTTATTCAAATATTTAGCGTATGTAAAAAAAAAAAAAAAATTTTATATATATATATATATATATACATATATATACATATCTACATACACATACATGCACATACATACATACACATACATATACATACATGCACACACATACACAAACATATATATATAAATACATAGCGCATCACATAAACGTGCACAAAGGTACATTTAGAGATAAACATAATAGTCATAAAATTAAAATGTCATGCCCGATGTTATAGGACCGAGATGGAGCCGACATAAGTGACAACATGTTACACAACGGTGTTCAAGTTTTGAAACCTTTCTTATGTCTACATTTAGAGAATACCTCATTCCGAAGATTCAGCAGCTCATCTCTATTTTTATCTTTGATAATGAAGATTTTTTCTGCCATGCATAGATCACACCGATCACGGAAGTTATTAGGTGTTCTGGCTCTAGATAGGAATCTCCATTTCAAAATTGGGTTTAATCCCGTATCCACCAGTTCCCAGTAGTGTTTGGATAAGGAAGTCTGTCTACTGAGGCATCTATATCTAAATGAGCGTCTATGGTTGTATAGACGCTGCTTCCAATCACCGGCGGATATACCTATGTATCTTTTTTTCTCGTTTATATTTCCCTCGGGAAAGATAGTTGCCTCGTATACTACATTTTCAGATTTGCATTTACCCCCGATTGGACAATGGTCTTTATTCCTACAATTGCAGGTAGGGTTACTAGATTGAGTTCCAAATCCACCCCACCCACATCTCCAAAAATTCTCTCTGTCACTCATCCTCATACTTACACTTTCTCTAATTCTGTTTTGATTTCCGGAGTTGTTTTTTTTTTTTTCTGTTTTCATTTTGAATTTGTAGGTCTGATGATTTGGATCGTATTTACGATTCCAATGGAATAAATTATGACCATGGAATATTAGTGTTTAAGCCTTTTTATTATATCCTTACTCTGTCCTAGACATTGAGTTCTACCTGGATCCTTCCTCTTGGAAAATTTTTTTCTGAAAATATACATGTATGGGAATTTTTTAGATATATTTTTCATATGTATGTATATTTTCCACTAATATTATCTATATATATATATATATATATATATATATATATATATATATCTGACATTTACAACATTAGCAGTAATATATAATTTTATGACAAGTTTTAAAAAAACAATTTTTTTATTTGTTATTTTTTATTCAAATTTTAAAAATTACCATATACAAGCAATATCTGTTGATAAAGTTTTATTTTTATATTTACTGTGTTTGTATAAAAAGAATTTATATATGCCGTGTTAAAATTCATAAGTTAACTAGAAAAGTTACAGCATCCATAATAAGCTTTGTTATCTGCTATTTCAGATTACTATAAATTAGCTGAATGTAATGAAAAGGAATTATCTAAATAAATAATTTTAAGAAAATCTAAACAGATTATTTTAAATTAATCAAGTGAAAAAACTAGTCTGTTGAATTAATTTTTATTACTTGCATTATTTACATTATTTGGGCTGTTAACCTCATCTTCATTGTCATAATCACAACATTTTGGCCATTGTATGCTCCGGCCTTCTTCAGCTGATTGGAATTTCAGACCAAACCCTTTATTTCATTAACTGGGGTAGATTGTGTCCTCAAGGACACATGGCCCAGTGGATAAAGATGTTGGTTAGATCCAGTGAATAGACCTAAAGAGTTTTGAGTTCAATACCAGGCCACAGCAGTGGTGAACCAAAAGAGAGTTAAAGGGAAATAACTGAGACATCTGGAAGAGGCATGGCACGTAGAAATAGTACAATCTACTTTGTTGGACAAAATAAAGGTTTCGGTTCAAAATTCCAATCACCTGAAGAAGGCTGGAGCATACAGCAGCCGAAACATTGTGAATATGGCAATGAAGATGAGGATAACAATGCAAATAATGCAAGTAATCATGATACCTCGTCTCAGAGATATAGACAGATAATATGACATCTCTTTTTGATTTGCTCTAACAAAGTAAAAAATAAAAAAAGTCACTCTTTGTCCAACTCACAAAACTAATCCCCTACAAAATAAAAAAAAAAATACAATATAAAAGGAACCAATTGCAAATGCTGCTGTTAAAGGGAAAAAAAAAAGTCATGATCCACTACATCTGCTTTTAAGAATACTACTCGCAGACTTATAAGCAGTTGCAGTGAATGAGCAAGCTGTCAATATCATGCTATGCACACAAACTTTAGGCCCTACTGACTCTCCTCTTCCTCCCAGTTGCTTACCTTGCCCACAAAGAGACATTCCACCTTGATTCTCTGTATGGGCAGTGTAAAGAATTTTATCTTAACAAATTTTGTCTTTGTTTTCCTTTCACATTACTGGCAATGCTTGTTTCATTTGTTCTTTTGTGCTACCAGATACGCATCTGTAACAATAACATTTTATTTTTTTCTCTTCATAATTGACCATTTCATAGTTGTTTTTTTTGTTTGTTTGTTTGATTTTTTAAATCAATTCTTTCCTTTTCAGTTAATGGAAGCATTGAAAGAACAGCAGGACGTTAATGATCGTCTGAAGAAATATGTAGACAAGATTATCCTGAAAATTTTGGAGAAGAACCCGTCCTTACTGGAAATCAACCATTGAACATTTCTGCCATATTTTTAATTGCTAACACTTTGATATCTAAATCAACGTCCACTGAGCCATCCAGTAAAAAGAAAAAAAGAAAAAACAAATCCCAGTGAACCGCTCTGTGGTATTTGCCTCATCAACACTCCCCAATTTGTTGCAGCACACGCAAAATAAATCTTCCCCAAGCCATTAGTTTCACTCCCATATTTTTTTTTTCTTATTTCTTCATTCTCTGTTTTTAAAAAATTACTTTTTTTTTTTTTCTGTACTTATTGTAAAGACTCCCTTTCTTATTGTCCCTTAAGTGTGTTCTCTTTGTCATTGTACCTTTCTTTCTCTTTTATTCTCTTCTCTGCCTTTCATCATTTAGAAACTGTTTATATCTTTAATTTATTCTGATTTTAGATGATTTTAAGAGAATTTAAAAAAAAAAAAAAAAAAAATGAGAAAGAATGAAAAACAAAAAATTTTTTTCTGCCCTGCTCTAACCTTTTTTTTTTTTTTTTTTTTTTTCCAATTTTTTTTTGTGGTCACGAGAATAAAAACTTTTTTTTTTTTTAAATTGGAAAAAGACAGTGGCTGCAAACAAAAGCAAGCTTCTATTTGCTATTCTGATTTTTTTTTTTGCAATCTTTCCATCTCCTGGTGATACTCAGACTTGAAATTTGTTAGCCTTTTTGCTAAAGGAGGTGAATGAAGAATACTTTACAAGATAAAACACGGAAAAAAAAAAAAAAGAAAAACAAAAGATAAAAATTGGACAGACTTTTAAAGACCAAAAATATAATGTATGTTTGTAGAAAGATAGGCAAGAATTACAATGTTAAACAAAACAGAAACCATTTTTTAAAAACAAAAATGGCAAAAAAAAAGGGACTTGGCAGACTGGCGCTTACATGCCTATGCTATCATAGACATTTCCAGAATTCTTCAGCTAACCCTTCCCCAAAACAAAATTGGTTTTCAGGAGGAGAATGGAAAGAAAGAAAAACAGATTAGCTGCTACATTTTGCAGTGAAATATCTGACTTTGCTTCTGAATATTGTTGCAGCATTATTCTTTCTTTCCTAACAGATACTCCTGGCACCATAATATGGTCAGGTGATTGACACAAGACAGTTGAAACCAGCTTCGAGGTTTACCAAAGCAAGGGAGCAAACTTTTTTTCTTTTTTTTTTAAAAGAGTTACTCATATCCTATGTTATGACAACTGGTCTCTGTCTTCAAACACACAAACAAACAAACGCTATTTTCAATGGCGATTCCTTAATTATTCTGCGGGAATGTAATGAGACGCTGAGCATGTAAAGTTTGTGGTTGTGATTGGTTCTCTGGTTGAAATCCTCCGAGTGTCAGAAGTTAGATATTTTTATAAGCAAATTTTTTTTTTTTTTTTTTTTTTAACTTTTTAAAGTTTTTTTTATTTTATAATGCTTTTCTTTTACTGATTGTCTTTTTTTCTTTAATTTTGCTGTTTTAAACTATTGAGAGCTTTCCTGTATCTCGTGTAAATGATAAAAAACAAATGAAAAGAAGAAAAAAAAAAAAAACAGCCATTGTATTAAAAAAAAAAAAATACATGAATGTTTTCCCATGATTCCTTTTTGGAGGAAGGACATTTACATAATTTGCTGTAAATAACTAATAATAAAAAACAAAAACAAAACACATATCATTTATTTTAACATTATCCTATTTTTGCATGTCTGCCTGACTTTGAAATGAGAATAGATTCATTACTATACTTCTGTTTCTTTCTAGAAAAAGGTTTTTGTTGGCCCAATATTTGAAATGATACCATATTGCAAAAAGGCTTTTTACATGATTTTTCTTTTCAAAATAACTCTTTTAATTATAGCGGAAAATACATTTCAGGTAATTTAATAAACTATGATCAATTGACAACAATAACAAAAAAGAAATTTAACGATGTTACATATTTGGTGAGATGATTTACGGCATTTCTTTAAAACGATTGTAGCTTTAAATCTATTTGATTTGTTTGAACCTAACTGTAACTCATTAAGTAAAATTTGTTTTCTGCAATTGTTTCCTGATACAAAAAGAAAAACGAGTCATGAAAATATCATCATCAAAAACGCATTTCTACAAATCAAGATGTTTTCCCAATATGATGTTTAACATTGCTTCTTTAATTTAAAAACAATAAACTTTTACTTTAAGAAAGAAACCATGTTAATTTTTTTTTTTTTCTACAGGTGCTGTCAAATCATTGTAAGCACTCTGTAGCTCAGGAATTCCTTATCCTAGCATACCTTTTATCACTCACTGATTTAACACCCTAAGGATAGATGTTATATTGGTTTATCATTCATTTTACATCGAAATATGTTTTCCTCATGAATTCTTTCTCCATATCAAATAACAACTGAGATTCAAACTAACAAACAAAAAGAAATTAGGAAGATATACATTTTAGATGTTTTTCCCCTTTTAATGAATGTTAGACATTTTTTAACATTGTATTTTTTGGATTTTGTTTGTTTATTTGATATTTTTCTATATAAAAGAAAAATCTAGAATTTATTTTTAAAAATCATATATTTACGATTTGATTTTCAGCCTCTGTGAACATTGTTTTCATTGTACTAAAACCAAGACACATACACGTGTATATGTGACTTGGTTTTAGTACAGTGAAAATAATGTTCACTGTACTAAAACCAAAATATACACACACACACACACAACAAATCCAATAGGTGACTAATGGTGCAGTAGAATTGTTTTATACATGATGAATTTTATTAATTTTGATATCTCTTCTCATCTGATCCAGGATGACAGATCTGTGTAGAAGTATTACTTCACTTGTGGTCACAATAGGTTGAATCCTACTTTGTATCTAACAAATTGACTATATATGTAAATACTTGTACTTTTTCATATTATTCACAATTTCTAATTGTACCAAAAGCTGCTGTAACAGTCTGAAATAGAAATTTGTTTCACACGATTTAAAATAAGTTGATTACAATCAAACATTCATAAAATTGGTCAGGTTAGATAGGTCTGTTTTAAAATCTAATTACTAGGTTTTGGCTATGATTCTGTTCTCCTTATTGATGACAATTGACAAGCTAATGAAGACTAGGACAGTAAATAACACCTGCCATTTTTAAAGTTTATCATAGTAATACTATCCATTGTGACTTTTAAATTCCTTTATTAAAATCAACTGTAAACAGCTTACCAAAGTGCCTGCCACTTTTACAAGGAATGGTTTTCTTTGATGCCATCTCTTTGGGTCTAGTTGCTATCCTTTCTTTTAACATCTTTCTCATTCTTTGAGGATTGTTTTTCCCTAATGCTCTGTTTCTTTCTTGTTGTGGGTTAGTTAATGTCTTTGAAATTCTGTCAGAAAAGGACTGAGTAATTCTGGTCCAAAATAGTTCCAATATAACTTCTCTCCTTAGCAAGATTAAAAAGTAGTGGCTACAGAAATCATGAAGGCTCTTCAAGAAATACCAAAATTCTCTTTGTTTTTTAGAAATATCAAAAAAAAAAAATTAGTCATGCTTTAGTTGAGCTTAAGTTGGTATTTAGTGAAGAATTTCGGCATCCCCCATTGGGTAAGAATTTTATTTGGATATGCATGGATAAATTGTCTTTTTATTAATTAAATAATTACTTGAATGTTTTGTAGTCTATTTTATTTATTTGCAAAGAAGTTGACTTCATTTATAGAAAAAATACTTGAAAATAGTTAGGTTTTTTTTTTTTAAGGCCCAAATTTTACCGTTTAATATTTCAATTTTTTTTTTTTAAATTTTGTATTGCTTCTGTCCCATAGTTGTAATGTTTGTATACACATTTTGGCAAAGTTTGTCATTTGTACTCCCCACTACATAAAAAAAGAAAGTCTATTAAAAGGAATTGTTTCTCTTGACCCAACTAATACTGGATATGCACTCAGTAATTTTTTATTTTAAAAGTTATTCTTAGAATGTTAAAATACAAACAAAACTTTTTTCTCTTTTACAAGAATTGACAACAAAAGAATTAGACATTATTTATTTTATTAGATTCTTTAAAAGAATCATTTTATATTTACATGTTTATAAAAAAATATATGAACAAAGTACAATGAAATATTTATTTACTATATAAAAACTATGAAAACAAGTTTTTTTTAAATTATTTATAAACCATCAATGACAAGTAACTATACATTTTGAAAAATATTCTTTTTGGGGCATTTCTTTTATTTATTTGCACTTTCTACCACAAATCCAATGAAATAATTTGCGAGAAACTGAATTTATACTTTTTTCTCTCGAGAACTGACAGCAAAAATGTTAAACACTCTTTATCTATTAGATTATTTATTTACAAGATTATAAAGACATAAACCAACTACAATGTGATATTTATTATTGACCATATAAAGAAATAACTATGAAATTATTTTTTTATATTCATAAATTTTATACAAATATCCATGAACTTGAAAAGAAGAAAATGTAAATAAACACATAATGAGTAATTATAAATTTTGAAAAAATACATTTTCTGAGCATTTGATTTATTTACACTTTCCACATAAATTCACTGAAATAGTTTGCGAGAATCTGGATTTAAACTTTTTTTCTCTTTCAAGAACTGACAACAAAAATGTTACGCAGTTTATTTACAAGAATAGTGGTTAATTTTTTGCTGAGAGACTATGCAGTAATAGCAGTATCAAGGGAAAAACCATCTTTTTGACACACTTTTTTTTTTACAGGTTCCAATGTTAGACTTTATCCATATTTTATAAACTAAAAGTGACAATTATTAAGGGACAGAGGCAATGAAAACTAATACCTTTGTCCCATAATAGTTGTTACAGTTTCATACACATTTCATACATTAAATGTAACAATTATTATGGGACAGATATATTAATATTTCCGAATGTTTTTAGTTTTAATGTAACTAAACAGAAAATTAAAAATAAACGATTTTCAGTTACAATTGCCTTTTTTGTATTAAAGTTACAAATTTAGACA